GGTTCAGCCTGACCGCAGCCTGCCAGTCAGTGGCCTCCAGAAGCCCCATTCCCGTGGTCGTGCCACACTGGCGAATGGCTGTGTCACCGTTCTGGCAGGGCATTCGGTATAATCTTAAATTTTCGCAAGTGCGTGAGGATTGAGAAGTAAACCTTTTCGATCCTGCGATAGGTCGTTCAGTCCACGTTAAACGTCCCTTGGAAGTTCTGTAACTGAGAAGCCGCTTCGCGCATGCAGCATCTTCGCGTTTACCCACGTAGTGCTCTGGGCTTCCCTCGACACCAGACACGTAGGCTGCATTGACCACGTACTTGGACCGATTTCTAAAGCTGTATTCGGAGGTCCGGAGCCCGACCTGACCCTGTCCGCCCCAGGTTCCACATCAGGCCATCGAAAGGAGTCGATGACAGGGGACGGGGTAGAACAGCGGCTTCAGAAGTTTGCCGACTTGTCCCGGCCTGAGCCCTAACCGGCTCCCCGTGTCACGGCAGATGTGAGAGGCAGCCCGGGGTGGGCTCTGACGCGGGTAATGCTCAGATGCTTTCTTATCCCAGATTTCCGCGGCCTGTGACTGTGGAGCCCATGGACCAGTTAGATGACGAAGAGGGACTTCCAGAGAAGCTGGTCATAAAGAACCAGCAGTTTCACAAGTAGGTGGGCCCGACACAGTCCCCCGTTAGGTGCTCGCCTGTTCCGAAAGCACCTTGCCCGGGAACGTGTGAAAGGGGGAGTGCGTTGCTGAGTCGGGGTGGGGGGTGCGTCTCGGACACGGCCCTAGTAACCCCGGAACGTCGTCCGTAGGGAGCGAGAGCAGCCGCCCAGATTCGCACAGCCCGGCTCCTTCGAGTACGAGTACGCCATGCGCTGGAAGGCGCTCATCGAGATGGAGAAGCAGCAGCAGGACCAAGTGGACCGCAACATCAAGGAGGCGCGCGAGAAGCTGGAGATGGAGATGGAGGCCGCGCGCCACGAGCACCAGGTCATGTTAATGCGGCAGGGTGAGTACGGGCTGCGGCCCGGAAACCGGACGGGCAGCCTGCGTCGTTTTGGGGGTTCCTTTGTAGTGATCGGAAGGGAAAGGCCCGGACCTCTCTCTCTCTCTCTCTCTCTCTCTCTCTCTCTCTCTCTCTCTCTCTCTCTCTCTCTCTCTCTCTCTCTCTCTCTCTCTGTCTGTCTGTCTGTCGAGCGTCCGAAGTCTGTTGTTGAGCCTGGAAGTGTGGCGGAGAGACCGGGCTCTGCGCAGAGGGCACTGGTGGCTTCGGCTTCCTTCTGGGAAGCCGGGTCCCTCAGACGGCCACTCCGGGCTCAGAGATCAGATCCCCTTTGCTTTCCGGATCTGTGATTACGGACGGTTACCTGGCCCATGCGAGGACAATGACGAATACTCTCGACGGCCCCGTCGTTCTAGATCTGATGCGGCGCCAGGAGGAGCTTCGGAGGATGGAGGAGCTGCACAACCAGGAGGTGCAGAAGCGGAAGCAGCTGGAGCTCAGGTGACTCTTTTTCGCTGGCGCCTTTTCCCTGACAGCTCCGAAGGGGAACGTCTCCCTTCTGCCTCCCGCCCCCACGCCGCCTCCCGCACGCACTCGCGCATGCGGGGGTCCGTTGGCAGACCTTTCCCTTCGGAGGGGACGCGTGTCGGCTGCCCCGCGGATCTAGGTGGCAGTCAAGACAAAGCGGCCGCCTTCGTACCGGGCTCACGAGGCTCCTTTGGGAAGGGAGAGCGTTTGCCCCTGGCGGACGCATGCCAGTTGCTCTAGGGCCAGGCACACGCCACGGTGACTTTGCGGAGAGCGGCGAGAGTTTTCGGAGGGCTCTCGATCGCCTCGGCCGAGCCCCCTGCTTCGCGGAGCCGCTCAGGTGCCGGAGAGCCTGTGCTGAAACACCTTGCTGACTCCAGGCAGGAGGAGGAGCGCAGGCGCCGTGAGGAGGAGATGCGGCGACAGCAGGAAGAAATGATGCGGCGCCAGCAGGAGGGATTTAAGGGAGCCTTCCCCGATGCGGTATATGTCTTTCCATGCGCATGACGCGCCGGGCCGGTCAGGATAGGCAAACGCGCTGTGAAGTGTCCGCCGAGGCTGTAGGACACACCAGGTTCCCGTCCGCGTTCCCCTTCTGTGACACTCCTCCGAGAAAGAATTTGTAGGCAGGGAAGGGAAGGTTTGAAGGGGGGCTCTTCTCGCCCTACAGGCAATTTAGGATGGAAAGCTGGGGCTGCACGATGAGCTAGAGGCAGCCCGGTGGCAGCCTGGGCCAGTCCTCCGTTGTCCTCGCGATGTTTGTCCAGGCCGGAGCCTGAGAGGACGATACCTGCCTGTCCCCTTTCCTTTCGGCTCTCCTGTTCCTAATAGGAGGCTTTTCGTTTGCATCTTAGTAGCTCCGACCTTGACCTCACTGCACACCTAGCGAGGCGCTGTCATGAGCGTTCCTCAGCTTGGTCTCAGTGCCCTTGGGGTGTGTCACCGCTCTGTCTGCTTTCCCCAGTGCGAGATCGTCAGAGGATTGTGGGAGAAGGCAGTGCCATCTCGGGCTGTCTTCAGTGATTTTTGTTTTTCAGAGAGAGCAGGAACTTCGCATGGGCCAGATGGCCATGGGAGGTAAGGCCCCGGGAGGTTAGTGGCTGTGAGTTCCCCTCTCGTCTCATCTGTGGCGAGCTACGTAGCTGCTTTTACCTGGTCCGGATTTAACGGGTTGACATTTCCGGGAGCACCGTGTACGGGGGGCGGGGTGTAACGTCTGAGTCCAGAGGTCTTGTTGAATTGCTTCCTTTGGAACAAAGACACTGATAATCTCTGCTCCTTGTACTGATCACACGACTCTGCCTTAGGTGCTATGGGCATAAATAACAGAGGCGCCATGCCCCCTGCTCCTGTGCCGACTGGTACCCCAGCTCCTCCAGGACCGGCCACTATGATGCCAGATGGAACCTTGGGATTGGTAATACACTGCAGGGCCTTACAGTAGCTCTACATGCTGTCAGGAGAAAGGACTTTGCCCTCACAGTCCCGGGCCTGGCCACGATTTGGCTCTGGATGTCAGTCTGTAGGATGACTGTTAATCCATTAAATGTCACCTCCAAATTTTTCTTTCAATCTCGCGCAAACCCAGTCTCTAACTATACTTAGGAGTTGGGCAGATGCCTCCGATGGGCCTGTCCGACGGTTTAGTTCCTATCCTGGGTCGAACCCACGCGTTTTTGGAGGGAAGGCAATGAAGACTAGACGTTAACACATAACAGAGATGTGAAGCCAAAAGGCTTTATGGCTCATACAGTCCGGTGGTGGTTTTAGTTCTAATATCAAAATGTTCAAACTGGATAGGCTTCGGGTTGCTTGCCCTTGTCCGGCAAAAAGGATATGGCTACAACGCACCCATCCTGGGATTTTCGTACGTCACGTTGTTTAGCAGATAAGACTAGAGAGAAAAAGGTAAAGGTGGGACGGGGGGGGGCGGGGGTCCCTGATTCCGGCAGCCTTCCTTCCGGGGTCGGGCGCTACACTCCTGAACAGGCTCGCGCGCCTCTAGCATCAGGAGCCTTGAACAGCTGGGTGGAGATGGCCTCCGAGGGAGGGACTGCCGATGGGTGGCAAGCTTAGTCCCTAGGCTCTATGGTCACGTTGTCCCCTTCTTCTCTTTAAGACCCCGCCAACAACCGAACGCTTCGGCCAGGCAGCTACGATGGAAGGAATCGGGGCCATCGGTGGAACCCCGCCTGCGTTCAACCGTGCGGCTCCTGGAGCCGAATTCGCTCCAAACAAACGTCGCCGATACTAAAAGAAAAAAATTGCAGTGTCTAGTTTCCCAAAACCCTTAAGAGAAGGACCCTTTTTGGACTAGCCAGAATTCTACCCTGGAAAAGCGTTAGGGATCCCTCCCAGTAGTTAGGTCTCCCCTGCCTGTCCACTCCAGGGAGTCTGCTGGAGGCAGAGGGCGAGGGAGGGGCGGTGTCTACCGAATCAATTCTGTGTGGTATGTCGTCTAACTCATCGAATCATGTGGTGCATTCCTGAACTCCCAAGTGATTTTGGAGGGTCAGGAGGTGGGGGAATCGTGACAGACAGGATTCATTGCAGTCAGAGCCCCGTTCATCTTGATCATTCCGTTCTCCGTGCCCTCTCGCGTCTCAGCCCCCCCAGCCCCAGAGACACTGCCAGGTATACCACAGCACCCCAGCACCCCCGATGACCTTAGCCTCATCCTCCGTTCACTCCCAGGTGGGAATTCAGGCCAACGTCCGCAGCGGTCAGCGATAACATACATACGGTTCTGTTCTATCCCATACATTGCCCCTTCCACGTCCCGAGGAAGACATTTTTCTCTTAGAGCTTTTCATTTTAGCACACCTTTAAAAAATCTTGTGTTAAGTTGCCGCCTTCATTTTCTTGGGTCAGGACGACCCGGGAATGGCCCTCTCGTGTCCGATGTTGCTGTTCATAGCTTTTCTCGGTAGGCCTGGTGCAGTCTTGGGGACGGGGCTGCCGCGTGCCGACAGCCCGGACGGTGGCCCTCAGCCTTGCCTATCCTAGGTAGTCACGCCGTGCATTTTTTTATCTGTGTACTACGTTTGATTTGTCCCTGATACCTTTGGAGTTTTTCTGAGAAATGGAGCAGTCATGCAGCATCGACTTATTAAAATACATTTTAAGCCTTTTAATTTCCTGTGTGATTTTTGCGGGGGGCGGGGGAGGTGAGGGAAGGAGGGAGGGGCATTCTGCCTTGGCAGGAGCACTGGGCTCTGGAAGGACAACCCTTTGTGCCCCTTCGCCTAAAGGATCCGTCGTCTGGAGGGTGGCCGCATCCTGTGGCTAAAGTGACCCAGGTCCGTGCTTGTGACAGTACACGTTACTTGAGGATGGAGTGGGGGGGCTGTTGCCCCACAAGGGCAGATGGGCCGGAGGGATCGGGGTGCCCTCACTGAGCCGGGAGGGGTCTCCGCGTTGGCACTCGTTTCCCAGCAGCTGCTGGCCCGTCAGGCTTGGCACTGCAGTCGACCGAAAAGTGCCTCAGCCGTGCGGAGCTGACCTCACCCCAGGCCCCAGCCCTGCGCTGCCTGCTCCTTTTCTCAAGCCTCAGAGCCGAAATCCCGAGCTGTCCCCATTGGCCAGGAAGAGCCAAAGACGTTCCCTTGCCCATGTTAGGAGGTGGCCGCCTCCCGAACTAAAGATAGACACAGCTGGCCCTCGCGGGCAGCTAAAAGCCTGCAGACCTAGAGGTGTGCCCCACTCGGCAGCCAGGCTCCTTGAAATACCCTTTCAGTAATCCTCCCAACGCCTCCATGTCTCTGCTGTGCCATAACAAAGGCTGTGGGCAGCGCTTTGACCCCGGTGCCAACCTCCCTGGTGAGTAATCCAGATCTTGCCAGGGGGCTCTCGGGGTGCTGGCGGGCGGTTGGCCTTGGGCAGTCTGTTCACGGGGTAGAGAAAGAAATCACGCGTACCCGCCTGAGCTTAACTGATCTGGGCGATTGCCGGTCTTCACTGTTTTTTTTTTTTATGTTATACGGAAAAAAATATAAGCGTGTAAACCCGGGCATGGTCACCCTTCCCTCCCTGATCCTTCTACCGGTATTCACAGATTCCTGTTGCCATCACCCCGGGGTCCCAATCTTCCATGATGCACTTAAGGTGAGGCGTAGCTGGGGGAGGTAGCAAGAGCATTTCCCCGAGGAGATACACCCCGGAACCTGAGCTGAGCTGGGTCTGTCGTCCCCAGGGTTGGTCCTGCTGCCGGAAGCGCACCGTAGACTTCTCTGAGTTCTTAAACATCAAGGTAAACGCTAGACTTCCTTAGATTCTGCGGCTGACAGGAGTCCATCTGTAACGCTTCTCTCCTCCTCTGGACCAGGGCTGCACTGTGGGGCCGCACTGTGCTGAGAAGCAACCTGACGCCCCTCATCCTGAGGACCCGGCCACAAGCAGTTCGCTTCAGGAGCAAAAACCCCCGACTACCATTCCAAAGTCAGCAGAGACTTTGCGCCGGGAGAGGCCCAAGTAAAGGAGGGGGTCCCTGGGTTTTTCCTACGTTAATGGAGCTTCCTAGAAATGACTGACGAATGGGTCACTGGGGTTTGGGAGCTAGGGAGCAGGCACGCGAGTGAGGACGGCCAGGCGTCAGGCTTGGCGTGTGCTCTGTGCCATCGCAGAGATCCCGTGTCTGAGAGTAACGCCCGTCCTGTAAAGGGACTGCGGGCCGATGGGCTTGGGGGGGTGGAGTGTGAGCAGGCAGCGCCCCTGGATCCATACTTAGTTATGATACAAGGGGGTTTGTTGGGGATGACTCGATTTATTTTTTCCTTTTGGAAAAGAACTTTAAAATAAGTTTGATGTCAAGGAAGGGGTGTAGTAGTATTGGCAGCAGTATCGGCTGCAGAGACGAGGAAGGGAATTTTGTGGAACCGGGATGAGCCGCAGAAGAAAGTCATATTCGGTCCACAGCTAATTAGATGAAGAAGAAGAGGAGTTGCGTAGCAACCGCATGGCCCGTTTTCTTCTTCTCCGCAGGGACCCCAAACCCCTGACCCCGGGGGGACCCCCAGGGCATCTCTCGCCCATCTACTCTGCGGACAAGTGCGCTTAGCTTTGGAGCAACTGAGTAGATGGGCGACAGATGCCCTGGGGGTCCCCCCGGGGTCAGGTGTTTGGGGTCCCCACGGAGAAGAAGAAAACGGGCCATGCGGTTGCTACGCAACTCCTCCAGCCCTGCCTCAGTGGCAGCAGACTCGGGCTCTGTCGGCACCCCGCACCCGGGGGAGGGTTGGAGCTGTCGGCCATGGTTAATGAGTCAGAACGAAGTCACCCCACCCGTACCCCCTAGGTCAGAGTCGCCTCCAAAGCTGCTTCCGCTAAATATATCCCAAGCCCTGGAGGTGGCATTGGAGCAGAAGGAGTTAGACCAGGAGCCCGGGGCCGGTAAGTGGGTGCCTGATGGGACAGGCCTCGCAGAGTGAACTCAGTAAGGGGGCCCTTGGGCGGGAGGAATGGGCGGGTTCCTGACTCTGTTTCCCCCGCCTAGGACTTGACAGGAGTCTGATCCGGACTGGTTCCAGCTGCCAGAACCCTGGCTGTGATGCCGTGAGTGAGAGCTCGTGGGGGCTCCAGCTTGTGGGCGAGGGACGTGGCCCCCACGGGTGGCTGGGTCTGGATCGGGGGCTGCGTGCGGTGGGCTTCGCAGTGACCCGACAGTGTCCCTGTTCTCCGTGGTCTGTCTCAGGTTTACCGAGGGCCCGAGAGCGATGCTGTCCCGTGCACTTACCACCCAGGAGCACCTCGATTCCACGAGGGGTGAGGGTGGGGACCGGGCGGCTGCAGGACAGCTTTCTGCCGAGCTTGACCGAGATGGGAGCGGGGGGCTTGTGGGGACGGGGAGGAGCTGCGCTGAGTGGCCTTTACCTCAGGATGAAGTCTTGGAGCTGCTGTGGCATTCAGACCCTGGACTTCGGGGCCTTCCTGGCGCAGCCGGGATGCAAAGTGGGTAGACATGACTGGGCGCGGCAGGTAAGGCCCACCGTTCCTGGACTCGTGATGAGAAGCCCCTTCCAGAAATCATTTCTCCTCCGTGTGCCTCGCGGCCAAGTTCCGCTCCTTATCCCGCGACACCCCAGAGGCCACCGCTTCTCCGCACACACCTGAGGACTCCCCTCGGGTCAAGAGTTCATCTCCCCACCCACATCTCGCATCTTCTCTTTAGCTGCCAGCGTCTTGCCGTCACGATTGGCACCAGACAGAGTCCTTGGTGGTGGTGACCGTGTACGGGCAGATTCCACTGCCTGCGTTCAACTGGGTGAAGGCCAGTCAGACCGAGGTGAGCAGCGTGCGACGCGGGGCGGAGGCTGGGGAGCCGGCCATAGCACAGCGTTCCAGCGTTCCGGGCCCTCGGCGTGGAGGCGCCACTGTCCCCGTGCTCGCTCAGGGTCACCTGGCTGGCCCGTGGATGTCGCGCTCACGGCTCCGGCCTGGTCGCGTGTCGTAGTGACCGCTTCCGCCCGCCCTGGGATTGTGACCGCCCCTGTCATTCTTTGCTCTCAGCTCCACGTCCACATTGTGTTTGACGGGAACCGTGTGTTCCAGGCGCAGGTGAAGCTCTGGGGGGTAAGTGAAGACAAGGGGCGCGGGGGGCAGGAGCGGCGTGAAGAAGGCAGACGCGTGAGCAGAGGGCGTCCCGAGGGACGGAGTCGTAGTGGGAAAACGTGGACGTTTTCTCCTCGTTTGCTTTGATTCTCTCTCTCCCTCGCCCTCTCTCTTTTCCTCCCTCTCTCCCCGCTTCCCTCTCCCTTCCTTTCCTCCTCTCTCCCTTCCGATATCGTCTCCTTCGACCAGCTTTTCCCCAGCCTTCCGGTGTTCGATTTTCCTCCGTCATTCATCGCCACCCCACCCTGACCCCAGTCCCTTTGACTTCCTCACTTTGTCTTTCTTCTGTGTCCCTCTATCTTTCCCTCTTCCTCAGGTTATAAACGTGGAGCAGAGCTCTGTCTCCTTGATGCCATCTCGGGTTGAAATCTCCCTGGTGAAGGCTGACCCAGGCTCCTGGGCCCAGCTGGAGCACCCCGATGCACTAGCTGAGAAGGCCGGGGCGGGGGTTGGGTTAGACATGGATGAGGAAGAATCTGAGGATTCAGATGATGATCTGAGCTGGACAGAGGAGGAGGAAGAGGAGGAAGCCATGGGGGAATAGTGACACCAGACAGTCAAGTGTCTAGACAGGACCTCGATGACTCTCTTAGGATCTCAGAGGCCAGGATACGCTTGGCCACGTGATACTGGGCAGCAGGAGGCTGAAGGAGGAGAGAACAAAAGCGTCCGAGCCATGCTGTTTTTTTTCCCCCCTAAATAAATCTTGTATTCTACGCTTTCACATAGTGTCATTCTCTCAGCTCGCTAAGATCGTATGCATCCCCCCGACTTCTGGGTGTGTTGTACGCACACGTGAAAACCGGCACGTGCACATTCGATCTCTTCTCTACAACCGTCAGGTATTTGCTGCGTACTTTCTCTGGCCCAGTTATGTGCCAGGTGCCTTAGAGATGTCTGACAAACAGGAGACGGACTCGCTCCTCCTCGGAAAACTAGTCTGGCTGCCAGACAAGTCGAGGCTGATGTCCATGAAACAACGAGAGAGAGTAGCAGGTAGTTGAGCTGAGTGCGAATCGTGTGGTACCGTTTTTGACAGCTGTAGGACTTGAGAGAATGGAGAAGTGAATGTGGACCGTGGTAGGAAGGGAAGGCTCCTCGGAGGAACTACATTTTGTACAGCTTTATTGAGATACGATTCGCCCATTTAAAGTGTAAAATTCAGCGTTTTTTAGAATATTCACAGTCGTACAACCACAATAAATTTTAGAACATTTTCATCGCTCCGAAAAAAAACCCTGTGCCCCTTGCCAGTCACTCTCAACGTCCCTCCAGAGTCATAGCCCTAGGCAACCAGCAATCTGCGCTCTGCCCCCGTGGGTTCGCCTGTTCGGGATATTTCCCGTGAATAGAATCATATAGCATGCGGTCTTTTGCTTCGCATAATCTTTTCAAAGTTCATGCATGTCGTAACATCTATCAGTACTTCATTCCTTTTTTATAAGGGAATGATATGTCGCTGAGTGACAGCACATTTTATCTATGCATCAGCTGAAGGATATTTGGGTCGTTTTCTACTTTTTGTCTGTCGCGAATATTCTTGAGAACGTTCATGCGTAAGTTTTCACGGGCACATACGTTTTCATTTCTCTCGGGTATATACCTAGGAGCGGAAATGCTGAGTCCCAAGGTAACTAACCGTTTGAGGAACTGCCAGACCATTTTCCCGAAGAAGCCACAGCTCTTTACATTCCCACCAGCTGCGCCAGAGGCTTCCAGTTTCTCTATATTCTCAGTAAAACTTCTTTGCCTTTTCGATTCTAGCTCTCCTGGTGGGTGTGATGTGGAGTCTTATTGTGGTTTTCATTTGCCTTTCCCCGATGGCTAAGATATTGAGCATCTTTACACGGGCTGCTTGTTGGCCCTTTGTGTCTATTATTTAGAAAAATATCTATGCTTATTTTTTCCTATTTGTTAATTGGGTGATTTGTCTTTTTATTGAGTTGTATATTTTAAAAATATATTTTGGAGACAAGGCTCTTGTCAGATACACGATTGTGTTTTCCCACTTCCTCCATGCTGTCCTCTGATACACAAAACTTTTTACTTGTTACGAAGTCCGGTTTATCTGTTTTTTCCTTTCGTTTCTTATGCTTTTGATGTTATATCCAAGGAACCATTGCCTAATCCAAGCTCATGAAGATTTGCTCGTCTGTTTTTCTTCTAAGTTTTATGATTATAGCTCTTACATTTGGGTCTTTGACCTATCTTGTGTTAATTTTTGTATGTGATACGAGGCAGGGGTCCAACTTCATGCTTGTGCACACGGATACCCAGCCATCCCAGCACCATTTTTTGAAAAGATTCTCCTATCTCCGTTGAATTTTCTTGGCACTCTAGTTGAAACACAACTGACTCTAAATATGAGGGTTAAGAAATACATTTTGAACAGAAATATGAAGAATGAGAAATTTGCATGGGTATGGAAGAGAGGGAGAACCAGGATGGGGCAAGAAGATTGTTTTATTTTACTTTTTGTTTTCATTTCAATTCCAAAATAGCACATGGGCGCTCTAAGAGACTCAGTGCAGTCCTTTTGCTGCTTGTAACCACTGCCGACGTATAAGAGGGTATGTTAAGGGCGGGGGAGACAAGACGTTAAGTGGGGTGTGGCTAGATTGGATGGAGCCTAAAATTCTAGATCGAGGATTTCAAACACGATTTCAGAGAGAGTTAAAAAGGCATATAGGTCTTTTCTTTTTCAATGTAGATTCTTAATCAGAGGAGACTCTTTCGAGTCTCCCTTGATTCAAATTTACTCGAGAATCTGAGAGATTCAAACAATGAGACATAGAACTAGAAATTTCACCAAACCTCAGATGATCTCAAGTTCTTTTCATAGCGCCCCATTCTCTCAGTTCAGCCTCTAGGAGCAGAAGGTCGCATTGGGAGCTGGCAGTAAGATGGCGGTGGCGAATGGACAGGGGCGGCGAAGGCGAGGGATCACAGCATAGTGTGGCTGAGTATTTGGAGCTTGAAGTGAGATTAGGGGACGTTAGGAAATGAGTCCAGGGATAAGTGTCAGATCAGAGGTAAAGAGGCTTCCTGAACCTCCAGGATTTTCGACAATTGTCACTCAGCTCTCGGTGTTCACACTGTGGGTTTGAACTGCAAATGAAGTTTCCCCTTGAACCGAATCCTTCAGATCCTTTTGAACCCTGGCAATAGTTCACTGTCAAGGTCATTTTTCCGTGAGTGAGTCGACATCCATAGGGGTTTTGGTGGACATTTCAAACTATGTAGAACTGTAAAATGCATATAGAAAAGTGCATAAAGTACACTAATATTAAATGTACAACTTTTTTTTCTATCTTATCAAAATCAGGGGACCAGCAACTACCCAGAAATCCTGGAGAGGATAGAGGTGAAGAATTAAAAAGTTCAAGTAACCCTTTTCTATAAAGTCGATATGTAAAATTTCAAATTTATAGCATTAAGAATGTAGTGTGCTACCTCATTTTACATAGCCCAAAGCTTAAAATGTAAAAAGGTTTCAAGCAGGTGTATCATATTAATAATGACAACGATAACCATAGCTACCATTTCTGATACAAACTAACCTGCCAGGCACTGTGCTAAGTGCTTTGCATGCGTTATCTTATTTAATGTCACA